GAAGGGGCATTTTAGCTCTCTTACCATCTTATCCAAGTATTCCGAATCCGCCATTATTTTTGTTTCTCTTTCAAACAGAGGAAGATAGGGATAAAAAAAACGGTTAGAGAAAGGTTTCCGAGATTCTCAGGATCAATTTTAGAGAGACAGGATCTGAAGTGTGGGCGCTAAAAATATTTTTGCTCTGAAAGTGTAGGCCTAAAAATATTTTTACATAAATTTATGCAAGGGTGCGGTTTGTATAGAGCCTAGGCCGTAAATAATCAAATTAGAGCCTATCTTCAAATGGTATTGGTTCCAATACTTAAAATCTTTATGATAGCCTTCAAATATATTTTTATTTTTATTTATAAAGTTTAAAGATTAAAAAATAGCATAGATCGACAAATCTATGAAAACTTAAAAATCTTGAAACTTGACAATTAAAAAATGTGATACAAAATACACTATTTTCAAAACTTAAAATCCATTTTTTCCTCATGTCCATGTATTTTGATATCGAGATGATCAATTTGATCATATTTGGGCATCAAAACAATTTCTTCTAGTGAAATTTTTGAAGTAAGCTCGAATTTGATTGTTTAGAACCTCGGCTCTATATAAACATGTGAGGCATAAGGTTTATGAAAACAAAAGAAAACCTCACCTAAAATCCTTGTTTAGAAATTTCTATCATGGTTATAAATCAATTTATCAAAAAATAGTCTTATGGATTTAGGAACGCTTACTTTTAAAGTAAAATGGACGGTCTAGAAAATTTGTTACAATATATACTATTTTAGATATTGAAATCCTAATTTTTGTTCACAACCATAATGTTCAAGTCGAGATGATCGATGTAAAGGTTTTTCAATGCTTTACTTATAATTTTCAATGAGTTATGAAGTGAGGATATACTTATTTTAATAGGGTTGCAACCCTATCAAGTCAATCTTCTTATGGGTAAAAGATCTGGACATATTTGGAATTAAAAAAAAAAAAGGCCCAAGTATTTCATTTGACCTTTAAAAAAAAAAAAAAAAAAAAAAAAAAAAAAAAAAAACCGTATTCCATATGTCAAGTTTAATTTCCTTTTATAGGTATAATTATTTTTTTTAGAAATCAAACCTAAGATATAATGTTGCAAAAATTAATTGAACTACTTAAGTCCAAGCCCGAATCCCTCTAGTATTTTTCAATTCTTTTTTTTCATATTACCTTCAATTCAGAACTTTGAGTTCAAAACGTTACTTTTTTTGCAGGTTTGTGGTGGGCTTTCAAATTTTCAAACTTTTTTTCCAGATTTGTGGTGGCAAACGTTGCTTTTATTGTGTGCTGGGCTCAAGAATTGAAGTTCTACACAGTAAGAAAAGAGCTCAAGATTAATTGGTTAGTGCTAGACGATTTGCAATGCTACATCATATGCTCAATTTCTACCTAGGATGGGGCGGTCTTCTCCCCACTGACTCACCCCAAAAAAAAAAAAAAAAAATTGTTTCATGTAGGCTGAATCGCATTTTTGCAATGGAAACAATAGAAACTAACCGCCCAAATGTTTTCTAACTAGAATTATTATTTTTAGTTTTTTAATTTTATTTATTTATTCATTTTCATGATCTCCATGTTAAAGATTACATGTTATTAAAAATTAACTCTTAACCATCTCAAAATTAGATTTATTAAGAGACCTGCATTTTTACATATGCATGCATAAAAATACGGGCCTGGCCGCATAGAAACAGGATCTAAGGAAAAAAAGTTCCAAACATAATATTTTACACGTCATTAGCGTGAAGTATAGCTCTTAAACTTAGCACACTTGTATTTTTTTCGGCGAAACTAAGTTCAAAACTTTACTCAAAATAATAGATTAACAAATTCAAGTTTCCAAATGACCTTTTTGTTTGGATAAAGTTGGTAAATGAACTTGAATCCTGTATCAGATAGTTTGGAAAAAATGAAAAAAAATAATAACATACAGAGAGAGAGGAAAAAGTAATATTTCTTATAACATTTTATCAAAATCGTCCATTTTCAAAAAAAATAAGTATTTATTGTTTGATCCATACTAATTTTCTTTGCTTTAAATTTCCCAATTAAGGATGAAAATAGTTTTTTAGCCCATTATATTAATTTTCCACACTAGAATTGCATCTTTAAACAAGTTTTAAAAAATCGCCTTATTTTTATTTGTTATGATTGACCATTTATAAAAACTACACTTAATATAAAATACTAAATTTCACATCAAATGATTGTAAGAAATTGTGAGCGACCTTGTATACAATCCCTTTTACAATTCACCAAAATTGTATAAAAACTTTTTATATGTTTTTCAAAAGTCTAAAAATTTAAATATTCAAAATTCCGAGCTTTTAACTCCCGCGTTTCCTCAGGCCTTCCAGTTTTGTTTAGTGGCGGGAAGATAACGGTCTCCTTTGGCCTCGAGGTACAGTAATCGTTTGACCCTTTTCTTTATACAAAATGACAAACACTATCTTTCAAATGGAAAAAGTTTATATAAGGATGCAACTTTATAATGTAGAACTACGGATGAACCTCAAAAATCCATCGGAAAAGGTAATTTTAATATTGAAAATATCAACATAGAGATGGATCATGAAAAATAAAAAAATTTTAAGTCTAAAAAATAGTATATTTTATAACACTACACCGTCTATTTTCAAGATTTTCATGTATTTATAAATCTACTTGATTTTAACTATTTTTAAAATTTTAAATTTTATAATTAGATATAAAAATAGATTTTAAGATAATCCTAATACTATTTTACATCAAAATTATATACCATGATAAAATTTGAAGGTAGTCCTTACCTCTACAACTACAGATGCATCCATATGCCACTTGCACCCCTTTCAAAATGGGTCATCTCCTCATGTATTAGCTTAGGCTTGGTCCTTGCATCATAATTGGGGCATGCTAGTGTTCCAAATTTTAGATTTGTAGTGTGAGTTGTCCACTATGATAAAACTTATATATTTCTCCTTATCCAACCATCCATTCTGAATGGAGGGTTAAGATTGCCCCAGTCACAAGGTCACGTCTCTGTACTATTTTATTTTTTATTTTTTATTATAAACTATTTTGACAATAAATTTTGTACGTCCAATTCTCTATTAAATTCACACTAACGAAAAATATAAAACAATATTTTCAATAAAATAGAATGACCAAAATACCCCTGATTTTTTCAAGGGGTATTTTAGTCATTATATTTTATCGAAATTTTATTTTTAATATTTTTTTATAGGTGCATCCCAAAGAAAAGATGGCATGTACCAAATTTCATATTCATACATTTTGTATAAAAAAAACTAAAAATAAAATGCTTTGAGACATCTGATCTAAGATCAAACAGTGAGTGGCTCTCTTGATCAAAATTGGACGGCTGGATAGTAGGAGAAGCATAGATCTTCTATACTGTAGGGGAAATATAGAAAATTTTTCCTTCAAATAATATTTAAAAACAAAACAAAATAAAAATTTTAACAAATGGATTTATAATGGGTGATATGGTGTTGGGATGTGATGCAAAGATCCCTCTTATATGAGATTTCCTCTTTGTTAAGGGATATTTTTATTATAGAAAATAAACATTTATGGAAACTCATAGAAGTGCATTTGCAAAGAGAAAATGAAAAAGAATTATAGAGAAGCATGTGGGATAAAAAATGGGTTTTTTTTTCACAAACACTAGCATCATTGCAGTTTCATATTGGGCCGGATGTTGTCGCCATTTCTTCATAACAATGGTGATGGTTGACGGTAATGAAGAAATGAGTTAATTGATGGTGGTATTGTGGTTGAAAAAAAAATATTTAAATTTGATTTGTTATTGTATGAGGTAATTTTTACAAAACTCATAAACATGTAAAATTTTTCCATTAACAATGAATGCATCATTACCTCTTGCCTGTGGATGTAGCCTCTTTTCGGTGGACCATGTAAATTTGTGTGCGACTTATACTTTTACTTGTATTGTGGTCTGGTGATTTTCCATTTTACTTATTTCTATATTATTCTTAAATATAGTATTATTGTTCTTTAACATTTTGTTTAGGTGTTTGATTCATTGTTGTTGGGACCTCACCACATCAAGTAAAGATTTAGGTTACCCCAATTGGCCAACATATTGGAAACATTGGATAGATTTAAAAAAGGAATGTCTCATGCCACTGTTCTAGAGTAATATAATGAAGCCAAAAGATATTCTACTCTCTCAAAGGTAGAATGCACATTCTCCTTTGGATAAAACCTCATCTAAGGTGGGAAAGGGGATAGGGTTGTGGTGGTAGCATCCCCACATCCAATTACCACATCGTGGTTTCCATTCCTATCTTTGACACCCCTAATTAACACCTTCAAAATGTAATTCCCTAATCTATTGAAAAAATGGGTAAAAAATACTTGGAGATACCTCGAAAATTTCACTAGATGATGTTGTTTTGATGCCTAAATATTTTCAAATTGATCATCTCGACATCAAGATGCATGGACATGAGAAAAAAATAAATTTCAAGTTTTGGAAATAGTGTATTTTATAATGTATTTTTTGACTGTTAATTTTCAAGTTTTCATAGATGTGTCAATCTATATTATTTTTGAAGTTTTAAACTTTATAAATAAATATGAAAATATATTTTAAGGCTATCACAAAGATTTACAGTATTGAAACAATATTTCTCAACACTATTTAAAGGTAGGCTCTAATTTGATTGTTTAGAGCATAGGCTCCATTCAAACCGCACCCTTTTTAAATATTCATTATTTTTATTATGGGTTATATTAGGGTACTTACACTATGGAGTAATTTATCATTGTACTTAACAATTTTTTACACTAATATACTATTCACATGGGTAATTTTTGTCATCAGGAGGGGTGTGACATCATCCGCATGGGTTATGACAGCACCCACATGGAGCATTAAATACCACTAGTGTGTCTATGTAGTAATATTACACCCTATGTGGATAATGTCATAGCTCTCCAAATAAACAAAAATGCCCTTACTAAAAAGTGTGTCATGTATAAAAAAATGTACGTAAGTGTCCAAAATTGTTGAGTACAATGATAAATTACTCCATAGTGAGTACAATGATAAATTACTCCATAGTGTGAGTACCCTAACAAAAATTTTTTTTTATTAATAATTAAAAAAAAAACAAAATTAGAAAACACATCCTAGAAAGTAGGATTTTTTTCCGTTTTTAAATCTTGTGATGGCTTTATTATCATTGATGCAAATAAAAAATGATTTTTTATTTTTATATTTCATTTGACTTAAAAAGCATATTATTTTGATTTTTAGTTTTCTTTATCTTTTTTTAGTTCTAGAGATTTAAGGGATAGAATTGAAATTTTAGTTTTTTTTTTAAAAGATAGATAAAGATATGGATTAATATGGTTGGATTGGTTATAATATGTTAGACATTATTATTATTCATCATAAGTTTATACTTAAAAGGAAGATGTCCCTTATTTGTTGAGATTGATTGAAGAATAAAAAAAGAGTTTGATCTTGTGAAAAGATCTTGAGTGGACTCCCTTGTAAACCATGGTATATAGTATGACCTCTCAACCATTTTTTATTTTATTTTATTTTTTTTAATTTATTTTTCCCCTACATCAGTTGGTAGTAGAACATTGAGATCATATATCCATATATTATAGGGAGCGTTTAAATCGATTTTATAAGATATTTGAGTAATTGGATCGACAATTCGATAAACACATGGAATACCTTCACATATCATTACATGAATATCTACAATATCACCTTAGTATATGGCAACAAGAAGAACAATAATATGAAGAGGTAGCTCTCGATACATAAAACGATGTTAATAACCCAAACTTACAATAAATTTTGAAAATCAATTATGAAGATGAAGATATGTGCGATGCAGTATTTGAAATCCAACATTGTGAGTTTGAAGGAAAAATTAAAATTAAGCTTGGGATCTTAATGTTATGCTTCAAGTTGCATGCAAAGTATTTGACGAATTAGTTTATTAGAGACAAAATACCGAGAATAAAGTTGAGACTGTATCATAAACTTTTGAGAAAGCCTTTGAATATTTTAGTTCAATAAGCTCGAAGTTGAGCTTCTCTTAGGAGAACGATGCAAATAAATAAATAAATAAATAAATAAATAAATAAATATATATATATATATATATGGTTATCCTAATGAAATTGTTCATATTTAAAAATTGGAGTCAAACTAGTATGGTTTTTTATGATTGTTTTATCATATTACTATAAAACGACTACGGCATTCCATACAAAAATACAAAAGTGGGGTTTTGGGATTGGGCGGGCACCAATACTGTCCCGTAAATGAGTTCGATCTAGGCTGATTCCTAATCCAAATCGGTGATTACTGATTCCTAATATTGATTGGTGGGTTTTAAAACCCTAGGGCAGATCGCTAAATATTATTATTATTATTTTATGAATTCATAAAAAGGAAATGGCACTGAGTTAGGCCATGCCACGGCCCGACGAGGTACACATTGTCTTCGACCCGGCTCATTATCCCCTTATTTATGACATACTGCAGAAATGCACATAAATCCTATCCCCAGCCAAAGCTTCATGCCTCTTCCTCGCCCTTCCTCTGTCCCCGCTTTCAAGAACCCCACTCTCTCTCCTCTCCCTTCCTTTCTCTCTCTAAAACCCAGAACCTTCACAAACTCCCCATATTACCCATTGCCCAAAACCATACCAAACCAATGCGTGGCCCTCCTCCAAAACTGCAATTCTCTCCCCTCTGTCAAGCAAATCCACGCCTTCGGCCTCCGAAATGGCGTCGCCCCCTCGGACCCACTCGTCGGAAAACACCTCATCTTCTCTCTAGTTTCTCTCTCTACCCCAATGCGCTACGCCCTCAACATTTTCTCTCACATCCAATTCCCAAATGCTTTCACATGGAACACTATGATCAAAGGCTTCTCTGACCAAGAGCAGGCCCAAAAATCCATTGATTTTTTCCACCAGATGGTAAATGACGGAATTGCCCCTGATACCCACACCTACCCTTTCTCTCTTAAGGCCTGTGCAATGCTGAATTCTCTCAGGGAGAGCGAGAAAATCCATTGCAAAGCCTTAAAAGACGGGTTTGGTTCTTTGGTTTTTGGCCAAAATGCCCTTATCCATGCCTATTCGGCCTGTGGTGAGCCGGAGCGCGCGCACCAACTGTTCACTGAAATGCCCCTGAAGAACCTTGTCTCTTGGAATTCGATAATTAATGGTTTCGCCATCAATGGCCGGCCGAACGAGGCGTTGACGCTCTTCGATCGAATGCGTGGTGGGCATGTAGGCCCTGGGCCCATGGGCCTGGAGCCTGATGGGTTTACAATTGTGAGCTTATTATCGGCCTGCGCTGAGCTTGGTGCGCTTAATTTAGGCCAAAGGGTCCATAACTATGCAATTAAACTCGGGTTCAACTTTAATACCCATGTCTTGAACTCTTTGATCGATTTCTATAGCAAATCGGGGGTCATTTTTGGAGCGAGAGAAGTGTTCGATGAGATGGTTGAGAGGACCGTGGTCTCGTGGACTGCAATGATTTGTGGGCTTGCAGCCCATGGGCTGGCAATCGAGGCCCTCGCATTATTCCGTGGTCTAGAGAGAGAAAGGGTGAGACCTAGTGAGATAACATTTGTTGGGGTGTTGTATGCTTGTAGCCATGCTGGTTTGGTAGACCAAGGTTTTAAGTATTTCAAGAGTATGAGAGATAATTATGGTATAGAGCCCAAAATTGAGCACTATGGCTGCATGGTTGATCTTTTGGGGAGGGCTGGTTTAGTGAGAGAAGCCCATGAATTCATGAGAGAGATGCCTATTGAGCCTAATGCAGTTATTTGGAGGACTTTGTTGGGTGCCTGTGCCATTAATGGACATGTAGAGCTTGGTGAATTGGCTCGAGCCCAATTGGGTCGGCTCGAACCGAGACATAGCGGTGATTATGTTCTTCTATCTAACTTATATGCATCAGATGGAAGGTGGTCAGATGCGCAAAGAGAGAGATCGATGATGGTGAGAGAGAAAGTGAAGAAAACACCGGGTTACAGCTTAATCGAACATGATAACAAGGTTCACGAGTTCATTAGAGGAGACAGGACGCACCCGCAATCTAGAGAGATATATGAGATGCTTAGAGAGATTGCAGAGAAGCTCAGGTTTCATGGTCATGTGCCTGTTACTTCGAATGTGCTTGCTGATATCGACGAGGAAGAGAGAGAAAGCGCGCTTATTTATCACAGTGAGAAGTTGGCAATCGCATTTGGGCTTATTAACATGCCGAGGGGGGCACCGATAAGGGTGGTAAAGAACCTTAGAGTGTGCCATGACTGTCATTCTGCTACAAAGATCATTGCAAAGATCTTTGAGAGAGAGATAATAGTGAGAGATCGGAGTAGGTTTCACCATTTTAAAGATGGATTTTGTTCTTGTAACGATTATTGGTGAATTTACAGTAATAATGGTATTGTGCACTGCGTTGGAGTTTGTAGGAATGCTAACCATCTTGTTTACGGGGCAGAGAGAGAGGTGGCTTTGTGCACTGTGTTGGAAATTGTATTTAACTAACTTTTCTAGGGGCCAGGAAAAAGGAGAACAAGTGGTCGTGTGTTGAGTTTGTATGAATGTTAACAAGCTTGTTGGGGGCGGGG